TATATATATATATATACACACACATACAGATAATTGATTATAAAGTGATCAGTAATAAAGTATAATAATAAATATAATAAATAAAAAAAGAGGTATGAAAAGATAATTGAGCATAAAGTATTGATTAACTAAAAAATACTGGTCTTTCTTTTGAAAATAAAAACAATAGCCTTTTTTAAAAGTAGTTTTAGGTTTGCAGAAACATTGCATATACTCAGTATTGAGTATCAATAATAAATAAATGTAAAACACAAATAATGAATATAAGTAAACAATTGGGTATAAATTACCAATTACCTGAAAAATACTTGGCCTTTTTAAACATTAATTGACCTGATTTTTTTTTTTTTTTAGCAGTTTTGCGTTAGCAGAGAAATTGAGGTTAAGCAGCAGTTGAGAATAAATTATACATGAGTCAATAAATAAACATAATGAGTAGATGAAAGTTAATAATTTAGTGTAAAATGACAATTAGCTCAAAAATACTTGGCCATCTAAGTCCATAGACTTTAATTTTCTTGAAGCACTTGTAGGTTTACAGAAAAACTGAGTGTGACCTAATCCATAATTGGGTGGAAATAATAAATCATAAATAAATACAAGTAAGTAACTGAGTGTGGGATACTGTCGAGAATATTTTTTCCATTGATTTTTTTAGAAGGAGTGGAAAGGAGGGAAGGAGGGGGAGAGAGAAAAAAAGAAACATCAATGTGAGGGAGACACATTGATTAGTTGCTTCCCACACACAAAAGCTAAATTCTTTTATGGTTCCTATATTTTGTGGGATGTGTTTTATCCAACCCAAAGCCCCAGACGACAGAGGCTCACAAGAGGATCCTGCTGGGGCTAGCGTTTACCTGCTGTATTTCAAGTTTGTAGTCGAAATTTTTGTGGAAGTGGCTCGACATGTTCCATTTCATGAAAGCAAGAGACTGATTGCAGCTCACTGTTATCTTGGGTGCAATTAATTTCTCTAGTAGAGAGGAAAAAGACACCAACAAAGCCCCAAAAAACACTGATCAGTAAAAGAAATAAAAATAGTTTCCCCAGAGACGCTTTGAAATGGGCATCCCACAAATTCGGGGTGGAGGGCGGGAGAGAGAAAATATTCCTTGAAGGGGCTATGGAAAGTGGGGGGTTGGTGGGATATGAATGGAGAGAGAGAGAGAGACACATGATAAAAGTGTGTTGAGCCCTGGGTGGTGTGGCCCAGTGGTTAGAGTGTCCACCTGCACACCGAAGGGTGGATTGATTCCCAGTGAAGGGCACAGTACTTGGGTTGCAGGTTTGGCTCCCCACCCCCAGTCGGGGCACACGTGGGAGGCAATCAACCGCTGTGTCTCTCTCATATCCCTATTTCTCTCTCCCCCCCTCTCCCTCCCTTCCAGAAGCATCCTGGGCCCTTACTCACCGATATCCGGTAAAAACGTGATTAATTCAGAGCAGGGCACTGTGGACTCGTTGCTGGTGCCCCTCGCCAGGAAACGGTACTGGCCTTCGGAAAACTGAGAGACGTCATCAAACTGACACTGGATGTGTTGCCCCAGCTCATTCGCTGTGTAATCTGAACACTCCCACTTCTGGTTGGTACTGCAGAAAATTGGGCATGATTAAGAATTGGGCTGGTGTGGCTCAGAGGGTTAAGCATCATTCCCACGAGCCAAGAGGTCACTGGTTCAATTCCCAGTCAGGGCACATGCCCGGGGTTGTAACCTCGACCCCCAGTAGGGGGCGAGCAAGAGGCAGCCGATCCATGACTCTCTCATCAATGATGTTTCTCTCTCTTGCTCCCTTTTCCTTCCTCTCTCTCTAAAATCAATAGAAACATATTTAAAAAAAAAAATGACCCAGTGTCTCCCATGCCCAGGACACCCCAGCCACGCCCAAGACTGCACCTACTTCATGTTTTCCAAGTAGAAGTAATACTGGACGTCGCTGGGGGCCTCCTTGCCCACCGCCCAACTGCACGTCAGGAAGTCCTTGTCGTGAACTTGGCAATCCAGGTTCTGGGGGGCTGCCTCAGGGTTCCCTTCTGGGCTTGCAAAGAAAATAACCAAAAACAAGTCCCTGTGTAGGGTCACGCGATGATTTCTAGATCCCTGTGAATTCCCAAGCAATTGTAAGAAATGATAACAGAGACGTTTTGCGTAGATGTTAAGCAGGTTCCCCCCCAAGTGAGGCAACACCTTGCAGAACTATCATCCGGGATGTTAATATATATACGCTCAAGAGACAGGCCACTTCTACCCTGGCTGGCTGTTGCTCAGTGGTTAGAGCCTCGGCCTGTGCACCAAAGGGTCATGGGTTTAAGTCCGAGTCAAGGGCATGTACCTGGGTTACAGGTTAGATCCATGCGTCTCTATAACATCGATGTTTCTCTCTCTCTTTCTCTTGAAGCTACAACCCTGGAGATTCATCCAAGCGAAAAGTAATGATTTAAAAAAATATATGTTTCTAGGGATTTTTAGAGAGAAAGAGGGAGAGATAGAAACTTCCATGATGAGAGAGTCATGGACGGGCTGCCTCCTGCAAGCCCCCTACTGGGGATGGACCCGGCAACCTGGGCATGTGCCCTGACCAAGAATCGAACAGGTGACCTCATGGTTCATGGGTCGACGCTCAACCACTGAGCCATGCCGGCTGGGCTAAAAGTAATGATTTTTGATATTCAGAAGACTGCCCCATGATTGAAAGCAAGTAAGAAGCAAAAAAAAAAAAAAGAAGTAAGAAAGAAAGAAAGAAAGAAAGAAAGAAAGAAAGAAAGAAAGAAAGAAAGAAAGAAAGAAAGAAAGAGCAATTTGCCCTCACCTTGCTTGGGATACTGGATCCACGTGGAAAACGTCTCACCGTCAATCGTAGTGACTTTAACAGTGTAGTTGGATGCTTTGCACTTGGGAAGCACATAAAACTTGCAAAAACGATTTTTTTTGGCCTAAGACAGATATAGGAAAGTATCGTTTACAGAACAGGCTTAGAGTGATACTGGTGATATTTAGATTTTTAATAAAAACTGTAGTTCTAGAGAAAGACAAGTATCCCATGACCTCACTTATATGTGGAACCTAAAGAACAAAATAGACTGACAAACAAAATACATCCAGAGACATAGAAGCATGGAGCAGGCTGAGGGAGCTGAGAGGGAAGGGGGGGTAGCAGGGTGGGTGGGAGACATTAATGAAAGAATGTATAGGAATATTTGCATAACCCATGGACACAGACAATTGTGAGGTGAAGGCCTGGAGAGGGGGAGACATGTATGATCCATGTGTCTCTAAAATCAATTTCTTTAAAAAGCATATCCTTGGTGAGGGAAAAAATATCTTTAAAAAAGTTTCTAGAGACAAAAGAAACATTTTCATATTCAAAAAAGCGAAGAATCGCAATAGCATTGAATGTCTCAACATTAACTTTGGTACATAGATTACAATAAAGCAAGGCCTTGAAATTTTTTTGTGGGGGGAGGAAGGAAATTTCCTTTGGTAGAATTCTATACCCAGCCAAACTATCAATCAAGCATCAAAGTCAAATACAGATATTTTTTCAAAGACTTCAGGTTTAAAAATATTTACTTCCGCCTGACTGGAGTGGCTCAGGGGTTGAGCACAGACCCATGAACGAGGAGGTCACTGGTCTGATTCCCGGTCGGGGCACATGCCCAGATTGCAGGCTCCATCCCCAGTAGGGGGTGAGCAAGAGGCAGCCGATCAATGTTTCACTCTCTCATCAATGTTTCTCTCTCCCTCTCCTTTCCTCTCTCTCTCAAATATCAATAAAAACGTATTTTTAAAAAGTGGCATTGGCATTTGCTACTGGGGATCGAGCCCACAACCCGGGCGTGTGCCCTGACTGGGAATCGAACCGANAATTTGCTACTGGGGATCGAGCCCACAACCCGGGCGTGTGCCCTGACCGGGAATCGAACCGACCACCCCTCCGGTGCTGGGTGCTAAGCCCACGGAAAGCGGTTTACCTTTGTGTTGGACCTTGAATTTATGCAGCACTCTATGGCCGAAACATTCCCGTGGATGTCCCAGGTCAAGCTCTTAGTTCTTGGATCCATCCTCAAGTTCTTAATCGGTGGGTTTGGATCTGAAATGTTTATAGGTTACAGTTAGGAGACTTACCCAGACGGTTAAACCGGCATCTTGGTGGGAACTTCTGTCTCTTGCTGAATTATCTGATATCGTGGGGGAGTCGAGTTCTACCCAGATAAGTGATCCGCCGGAGCGGGCAGGCTTCACGAATCAATAGCACCTTATTAATCTCATGAGCTCACCCTGCCAATGATGGGGGGGAAATTCACAAGAGCAGATCGCTTCTACCATCCCCGTGTACATGAAACTGATATTTTATAACCAGGTATCTCCTAGTAGTTTATTTTCACTGAGAACTGATACCACCAAATCCGGTCATAAATATCTGCCTCCCAGTGTGCTACACGGAGCGTGCTTTCAGAAAGGCTTGCAAATTGTAGTAGACTATATATAGGGTGTCCCCCCAAAATGCATACACACACTTTGAATCATGATAAAGTCGGCGTCTATAAACATACACTTCATTTTCAACATTTAAAAGAATCTACAGAAATGAATAATTTTTTTTGTNGCATAAATATCTGCCTCCCAGTGTGCTACATGGAGCATGCTTTCAGAAAGGCTTGCAAATTGTAGTAGACTATATATAAGGTGTCCCCCCAAAATGCTTACACACACTTTGAATCATGATAAAGTCGGCGTCTATAAACATACAGTTCATTTTCAACATTTAAAAGGATCTACAGAAATGAATAATTTTTTTTGTCAACACCTGTTATCAAACAGGTGACCGTTCTGGTCCAGGCCCTGCTGATAACACGAAGCAATGGACTTGCAAACATCAAGGATCATCTCATGCTCAGCTGGTGTGGCTCAGCAGTTGAGCATAAACCTATGGTCCAGGAGGTCACGGTTCGATTGCCGGTCAGGGCACATGCCTGGGTTTTGGGCTGGATCCCCAGTCGGGGGCGTGTAAGAGGCAGCCGATCAATAACTCTCATCATCGGTGTTTCTCTCTCTCCCTTCCTCTCTCTGAAATCAATAAAAACATATATTTTTTAAAAATTCCACACCCAATTGGGATTAAAACACTCAGCAAACTGAGTTTTCTGAAGCAGAAAAACATTAACCCCCATTTGGGATTTAAAAAAAAAAACTTTAACACCCGTTTTGGGTGCAAAACTCAGCAAACTTGGAATAACAGCAGACTTTCTTACCCTGACAAAAGAAACCTATGACAATCCTGGTGCTAATTCATACTCGGCAGTGAATGACTAACCACATCTCCTTAAATCGAGGCATCTGTTTTCAACTTTTCCATCCCCTCGGAGGCAATTTCACCAAGATTGGAGTTTTAAGGGACTTTAGAGGGAAATGCTTAAGCTTGTAGAGCGTCTTGGCTGTTCCCTTTCAGCTTTAGGAAGTTTCTCTTAGAAAGCAACTAATTTCCTGCCTGTGGTCAGTGATCCTAGAATACCCACGGGCCTGGAGTGACCACAGATGTGGCAACTGCCTCAAAGCTCGGAACCCAGAGAGGAGCCCCGATAATTCTAGGACCTGCAGGTTAGGGGGGGTCTGAGGACTGGAGGAAGCTCCCTCCCGGACAGACGTCCTGCATCTCCAGGCCCTGTCTTGCCCCCGGTTGCAGCCCCATGACCAAGCTCTCGTCAGTGACGTGGCACCGAATCCACGTGTGGTGCTGACAGCTCTGCGTGGATCCTGCAAACTCCTCCCAGGACGTGAAGAGCCACCGTGAAGGTTCCCGGCCATCGGGTGAATTCCCTGAATGTGGGCATGAGCCTTTATCTGGAAACAGGGCCTCGGCAGGCGGGATGGGGTGAAGGCTCTGGGATGATTGTTACGAACTGAACGTGTGCGTGTCCCCCAGATACGTATGTGGAATCCCTGGCTCCCGTGGGACGGCGTCAGGAGGTGAGGGCTTGGAAAAGTGATCAGGGTTCGCTGAGGACGTGAGGGTGGGGCCCCCACGACGGGATTAGTGCCCTTCTGAGACAAAGCGAGCCCTGCTCACCTCTGCCCAAGTAAGGACCCAGCCAGGAGGCAGAAACTGGGGTCTCACCAGGGACCAACCACAGGCCACTCTGATCTGGGACTTGCAGCCTCTAGAACTGCGAGAAATAACTGTCTCATTTTTTTACCCCCCCCCCACTCTGGGGTATTTTTTGGGTAGCAGTCAGAGCTGAAATAAGAGCATCCCCAAAAATTAAAATAAAATAAAATAAAATAAAATAAAATAAAAACGGCACCCCCAAGAGATGTCACACCCTCCCCACCAGAGCACAAAACACCGGCCGTCCACTCCCCTTTGAGGAAGGAACCCATGTGTGAAGGGTTAGGAAATATTGTGGCCGTAACCTCAGCTCACAGCATCCTGGCTGATGCAATCGCCCAGAGCAGATGGGGATGGGACTTTCAGGTTTTAAAAATACCTCCTTTATTCTGAGATGCTGGGACTACAAAGTTATTCCCCTAACTGTTAAGAAAAAAA